CCCCAAACAAAAGACAAAAAAAAAAAGTAAAAGTGAAAGACAACATATCTCTCTCTCTCTCTCTCTCTCTCTCTCTCTCTCTCTGTGTGTGTGTTTATTATATATCACAAATGAACTGCAATACTAACTGTAGAACACACAGGTGCAGATGACAGAAAATAAATTATTTCTAAGTTCTTTTAGAGCGAAGCCACTGCTCCCTTCCACTAATTAAAAAAAGAAATGGCTTTGTATTAATAATGCCATTTCTATTAGAATGTGCACGGCAAAACATAAAAAACTCTGAGCTTTGGAAATGAGGTGTGATTTTGAAGGCGCACGCATGCACTGCCTTCGTGTTCCCACGTGTAGCTGGGCTGCAGACACAGAAAGACGTGGAGAGAGCAGGAGGCGGTGTGGTGCATGGTGCATGGATGCCCCCCCCCCCCCAGGCTCGTAGGCTGCGTGGGGAGAGGGCCCGTGAGCTCAGAGACGCAGCATCACACCTCCTCCCGGTGTATTTGGTGATGACACAGAGGGAGCCTGAACTTGGCCACAGTGGAAGGATTTGCACCAACCAAAATTGCCTGAGCTCGGCTCACAGAGGAGGGGCGGTCAGCACGAGAGCCCACTGAGTGACCGTGGGAACGTTGCTGAGCCTCCGTCACTCTCCTCGGTGACGACATTTGTTATACAGACACTGGCTCAGGACACCCCAACAGCAATATGCAATTATCAGTCTGAGGTATTTATGAAGGCAAGGGCAAGAAGTGGTTGCCAGCATTTTGTAAATTGAATAAAATAGGTTCGGAAAGAATGGCCTTATATTTATTTTACAATTTTGTTCCTCCCCGAGAATGCTGGACGCTGGAGTACCCACATTTGGGCTGTTAGAAATAAATCTCTGAGTCTGGGGCACAACAGGGAGGGCGTTTGCCTTGCACACAGCCCACCAGGCTTCGATTCCCAGCATCCCATATGGTCCCCGGAGCACCGCCAGGAGTAATTCCTGAGTGCAGAGCCAGGAGGAACCCCTGAGCATCGCTGGGTGCGACCCAAAAAGCAAAAAAAAAAAAAAAAAGAAAGAAAGAAATCTCCCATGAGCCTTCTTTCTTCCATGTTTTTAGTGTACCTACATGTATTCTGTTATCTAAGAAGTATTCCCAAAACAGTTGCCGCCATTTACATTATTACCAGGAGGATTTCAAAGTCTCTCACTCCCCGTTGGGGACAGTATCCAGTTTGTCAGGCTTCTCCTACCATTCATGTCCGGTGGAGGAACGGTTTGGTTTGCGCATTCCCTCATTACTGGTGATCATGAGTACCTCTTTCTGATTAGCCACTGCACCATCCTTTATGACGTTCCTGATCGTTCTTTTTTTTTTTAATTAAAAATGATGTCAGTTTTTCTCTCTTATTTGCCAAAAAGTTACTATGTCCTCTGGCTACATCTTGTGATCATGTCTTTATAAACTGGCAGGCAGATGTCTTATAAAATCTTGTTCCACCTTCCCTGATTTGCTTTGTTGTACGTGATTAATTACAATATAGCTTTTTGGGGGGCCCTCCCTGGCGGTGTTCAAGGGTTTGCAGTCCATTCCCAGTGATAACTTAGCAGCCGGGAGTGACCTTTTGGGCAAAGAGCCAAGGAACACACCAGGGTTGGCTATGCGCAAGGCAAGTATGATGGCCCCTTCCCCCCAGCCCCGAGGGTGTCCAAGGCGAGCGTCTCAGCCCATCCCCCCAGCCCCCAGTGTCCACTCCCCATTTAGGCAGCAGTCTGACCTCTTGAGCTCCGGAGGAAGTGTCCACCTTCCAGGAGTCCACGGCACCCCCAGAGTCAAATTATCCAGAGCTGTTCCACACCTCATGTGCTTCCTGAATCAAAACCCAGTAAGGAGAAATGGTTTTGTTTGAAGGAAAAGGATTCATCTTTCTTTCCAAAAGCTTTTCTGGGGAGTCGAGCCGGAACTGTCAGCCACGAGAGAGACCCGGGAACTTCAAGCCTGACCCGAGACACCGGAGCCCACTCCTGTCCCCAGCCAGTCCCGCTGACCACTGCCCCCATGTGGCTGCGGTTCTACAGTGCTCTAGATGCAGGCCCAGAACTCCAAGCCCAGCAGAGGGACATTAATCACCAGCGGACAGCTAACCGTTGTCAGTCCCACCAGCGCACTCCGAGTCCTGCTTGCACGGTGGGCACGTTTCCACCAGCCCAGCAATCCCAGGGCCCAGTGCTGCAGGAGAAGACATCTTTACCACACTACATGGCAATTCTTGAATGAAAGGAGCGCATATTTGGTGAATGATATTTGAGAACCAACTAAGGGCAATCCTAACCGCATGGATCGATGCCCGTAACACCTCTGAGAAAGGAGAGGGGATTATTGGCTCCCTCCTACGTGCATCACACATTTTAGGAGCAGGGACAGCAACTCATCATGTCAATGCTATTTACCTATAACACGTATCTTAACAAAGCAAGATTCCACGATATCGTTTGGGTATACGGAGTAAAAAATAATCATTTTTAAAGTGAAAGCGTTGCTCCGTGAGGTCACGCGCCTCGGTGCCTTTTCACTATACTTGATCGCCCTCTGCTGGCTACGCCATCGAACTGTACAAGCGAATGAAACGCTCAGGGCAATGGGAGTTATTTTTAAAGGACATTTCCAGTTCCTTTTTGCCACAGTACATTCCTGGAAACCCACATCAGAAAGACAATCATTGTAAAGCAAATCATATTTTCCATCATATTTTCCATAAGGGCAAGACTATAATTAGATAGTTCATTCCAAACTGAAATCTAGCATCAAATAACCCACGGAAAGATCTCATTAAAGCATGATGGAAAAATTACAACCCTCTATAATCATTTAAAATAGGATCATTATTCTCCAAATCCATTCCTATAGATATGAATACACTTATTATTTAGGGAACGTGACCTAGGGGAAAAGATAAAACTTCATATAAAGTTCACCTAAATCTATATTTAAAAAGCAACGAATATGTTGAAAGTAGACTATAGACCAAACATGACTGCCATTCAATACCTCTATTGCAAACCACAACACCCAAAAGGAGACAGAGAGAGAGAGAGAGAGAGAGAGAGCGCAAAAGGGAATGCCCTGCCACAGAGGCGGGGTGGGATGGGCTGGGTTGGGGAGGGATAGGGGTGGTGGTAGGAGGAATACTGGGATCAATGGTGGTGGAGAATGGGCACTGGTGGAGGGATGGGTACTCGATCATCGTATAACTGAAACCCAAGCACAAAGATTTGTAAGTCTACAACTGTACCTCATGGTGTTTCACTAATAAAAATTAAATAAATTAAATTAAAAGCAATGAATAATGAAAGGAATTCTGAATATCATTAACCACACTCCTGTAGGGTTTTTTTTCCTCCAGTGGAACAGTTTTATTTAGAGAAATGTAAGGAGAAGGTGAGGAGAAAGGAGGGGATGGAGAGAGGCGAATGGAGGAAGGAGGCAGAGGGAAAGAGGAGAGAAATGCCTGTCACAGGCCGAGACGCGGGCAGTCAGTAATCTAGATGGTTCTTTAGAAAGCATCACCTAAAGAAAGCTAAACCAATGTCTGCTTTTTGCAGTTACACTTTTACAGAGCAGTATTTCAGGTCCACGGTTGACCCAACATTGAGTCCTTTTATCCTCGCCCAATTTCTAACTCAAAGTTTCAAGTATAAGTAATAAGAGCCATAAATCATCGTTTCTCATCTTTCCCTGCCCCCAAACCTAACTTCACTTTGATGATAAGCTATCAGACCACATCATACCTCTCTGAAATCATTAAAAATCGTTATATGACATTGAAGAGGAATCTTCAAAACATTTTTAAACAGAATTGTAAACAAAATTAGAGCCCGTTCGTCATGTGTTCTGCCTCTGGGATAACACATAAAAACACCACAGAGAGGGAGTGAGCTGAGGTCAAAATATGACACAGCCAACTTCTCACGCAGGGTGACAGAGCACAGAGAGAGGGCGGGCCGCCCTGTCCTCCAACCCCACAGAGCACTCACGAGTCACCTCAATAAACTCCTGGGGCCTCTCTGTAAGTAACGTTGCTGCTCTTTACCCAAAGACTATACTGGATTCACATAAATCCGAATCCTTCTGCATAGACTTCTTGGAATCTTTCGGCACATTTAATTTCTTATCAAGAACACAGAGAGAATTTTAGTTAACAGAAAAATCGATGACCAGTGGGTTTTAAGATAACACCTTCTGGGAAGATTAGATCTTTAGAGAAAGAGAAACAAGAGCAACAATCTGATAAGCAAACACCTCAGGGGCAATTAGAATGGCAATCACGAGGGGGAGGGAAAGGGGCAGAGGTGGAGGAGGGGGAGGAGGGGGAGGAGGAGGAGGAGTGGAAGAAGGGGGAGGAGGAAAGGAGCAGGGGAGGAGGAGGAGGAAGGGGGGGTGGAGGAGAGGGAGAGGCAAGTGGGAAGAGGAGGGGAGCAGGAGGAGGAGGGGGAAGAGGAAGCCGAGGAGGAGGTGGGCATATAAGCCGCATGTCACACGCACACACCTCCATGTTACAGAAGATGAAACTGACGTTTAAAACTTCAAGAACTTGCCTGACAACAAACAGTTGCCAAGTGTCAGTGGCGAGACTGGAACAATGGCTAGACCTCAACCTGGAATAACCAAGAACAAAGACACGGTGGCGAGGGGCTGCAGCTGCAGCTCCGCTGGGAAGAACGGTAAGTGCGGTTCCCGCATACTTTCCACATAGGATACTGGGCCAAAACGGCCCGGGGGGCAGAACAGGGCCTTCTGGGAACACGAACTCTGGATTCCAATACTGGATCCATCACTCAGAAAGCTGACTCACCTTACTGAAGCCGTGTTTCATTCAGAACACAAAAACAGTCACCAATACTACAGTTTGACACCAGATGATCAACATGACTTATAGAAAACTTCCAGCATACTTCTACAACAGTATCTAGCAGCACAGGGTGAGTGCAGTATAAATGATACAACTTGCCTTACTTGGTGCCTGCTTCAGAAATGAGAAAAACAAGGGCTGGAAAGACAGTACGGCAGGCAGGACACTGGCCTTGCACGCACGCGGCTGACCTAGGCTCAATCCCCACACCACATATGGTTCCCCAAGCACCTCCAGGAGCAGTCCCTGAGTGCAGGGCCAGGAGTAATGAGCAACACCAGCTGTGGTCCCAAACAAAAATAAACAAAAAAGAAATTAGAAGAACAGTAGAATCCACAGATATTCAGTGTTTACTGGGGAAAGTTCACTTATAAATCTACGTGTCTGTTAGATATTGGTTATTTAAACGAAGGCATTCAGTAATTGCCATCATTTATATGACCTGGGAATCCTGCACATTTTACCCAAGAGCTCAGTTTGGAGGAAAATTTGACAGTATCTGTCTAAAAAAGGGCACGTTACTTAATATAACATAGGCACAAAGGTTTAAAAAGAATGTCAACTTTCCTCTCCAGATTGTTACACTCTACAGGAAAAAGTTTTCTATGTGACACCAGGAACATTTAATGCACATGTAAATATCTTAATCCATATATCCACTTTTAAATACACGTAGAGGGGCCAGAGCAAGAGTACATTGGGCAAGGCGCTTGCCTGGCATGCAGCCAAGCCGGGTTCGACCCTCGGCATCCCATACACATACACACCATGAGAAGCTCGCTGTATTTTAAAGGCTCCATTTCAATCTGTTACCTTAGTGATTTTTTCTACTCACCCATCACCAGCATATCACCAGTGCACAAAATGAACCGACTAATAATTCCAAGAGTTCAGAATAAGAGTTCACCAATTCAGTTCGCTAATGTGCTTAGCTATTAAAAAGAACCATTCCTTTCCTGGGAACCATGAGATGAAAGCACAGGCAGGTACGGAACAGTATAAATACAAGGATATTCTTGATAACAGACCTGAAAGCAGCAAGGAAGGGTTACACTATAGTAAAACTACAGTCCAGATTATTAAAAATGAATACAGACTACAGAACACAGGGTTAGGACATAAGTTAAAGGTCGGGGGGGGAAGCCTCAGAACAAATGCGTGTAGTATGACACAATGTGCGATTTTGACTGGATAAGTGTACATCTATTATCAAATCACACGCAACAAATTGCTGATGACAAGCAGCTCTCGTGAGGAATACAGAACAGAGAAGACCAGGAGAGAACTTGGCCGTGTAACTCTATGTATTTCTACACGGGGTATTTTGCAACAAAACTGTACTACAGACAGCATACATTTCTAAGATGAAGATTAATAACTGGATTAAACGCTGCACAGCTCTGGGCCACACACGTCAATTCTGTCACTGTGTCTGTGGGGCGCCTCGGGACCACAAGAAAAGTAGGAAAACACTCCCCTCTGCCGTGTTCTGGAAAAAACCCAGTCTCACGTGCTGCCCCACTTGAGGGGGAATGGTTGTAAGGCTGAGAAGTCGGGGACACCCAGAGGAGGATAACGGGGCCATCCGAAAGCCACCCAAACAAACAAGGTCACTGTCGGATCTCCACAGTGGGCATCAGCAAGATGGCCGGGAAGTAATGCATCTGGACAAGGCTCGAGGTTGGGGAACTAAAACGCAGGTAAGCAAACTATCAGGAATGAGATCGAAGCCTGCGGTATCAGAACCGCACGGTTAGGCCCCGCTCCAAACTTAGCTAAGCAGCGCTTCTTCGAAGAAACGGCAGCCGTTTCGACAACACCCAGTCTCTAGTAAACAGCAGAACAACGTGGAGAGTGGGTTTCCAAAAGCACGGGTCATGGCCTAAAGTGAAACAAAGACAGATGCAAAAGGCAAACACAGGATAAAACCAGGATGGGGCTGTGTGTAGAGTCGGAAGCAGAAGCCCGCTAGCCCACTGCAGTAAGGAGGTAAAGTGTGTTTGGTGGGAACAGGGACGCACAATCACCCGCCTGATAAAACAGAGCCCTCACCAACTTCTAACGCAGTCAGAATAAGGCCACATGCCATATCCTATAGGAAGAAGAAAGCCCCAGGAAAGGTGCCACTGGCTTTAAATGGGGATTCGTAACAAAGGGTCTTCAAAAGGACTCTGCATCTTTAATAACATAAAAAAAAAAAAAAAGGCTAGGACACAAACAGCATAATCTAAAATGCCATTAGAAATACTTCACATACAAAAAGGTCTAAGTAAAGCAGGATTTTATAAAGTGATCAAAAAAGAAACACTAAGGGGAAAAATCTTTTAAGATTAAAAGAGGCTTTTCAAAGGACAAGTTGAAGTGGTTGTAAAAATTTATGAGGCCGCATTAAACTTCAGTTCTAAGTAACAATAAATTATTCACTATAAAAACATACATGTGTCAGATATTATAAGCCTCTTAAACTTTTTAAAACAATTTCTTGCAGAACTGCCGGGCTGTGCGAGGCCCGTGGCGGCCGGCTGCTCTGTGAGCTCGGCGTGTCCATGCAGCAGCAATCACGGCTGGAGGGAAGGACGCAGGCAGCCTCTGGGACAGCCGCCGCCCTTCTTCTCAGCTGCGACCACACAGCCCCAGGCTGGCCCGACAGGCCACCTGACGGTCTCGAGGGTAAAACAAATGTCAGTTTTCCTTCTCCCATGCCTCCCTGGACGTGAAACCACAAAGAGGCGGAGGTATGTGCGGAGGAAACCTTTCCATGATTTTTTTAAATTTTTTTATTTTATAAGTTAGTTCACAATATTTGATTACACTTAATATTCTAACACCAATCCCACCACTATTACACCTTCCCACAATCAAATTCAGGATGTTTCCATCCCAAACCGTAATCCCTCTCCCAAAACACAACCAAAAGAATACATTTTGTATTGTCTGTTATGAAGAACTGCTGACCATGCTTACAAACAAGTGTCCATATAGGAAACAGTGTGAAGATTGTTCTGTTTTGGCAGGAGCCACTAAGACATGCTAGTGATAGCCTATAGAATGTCTTTCCATCATTTTAATCCCCTGATTAAGGCAAGCTGAAGAACAGGAAGGAAGGGGGCGGTGGGGGGGGGGGGGTTCTGTCCGGATGCTCCTGGCATGCCTCTGGCCTTGGTGACCTCCAACCCCCGACGGGAAGAGGAGAGCCTGACCTCCTCGCCTCCTTCCGGGTCCTCCCACTGACCCGTGCTGTGTGCAGGGAATGTGCAGGGAATCTGCAGGTACAGGAGATGCTGGCCTACCCCTTCCCTGGTGCTCTCTAACCCTGCTGGGTTTGTGCCCGCGAGGCCAGGCCCCTGCACAGACGCTGCTGGCATCAAGCTGAGTTCGGGCAGGGTCTGTCAATCCCTCCATGCTCCAGGCACGCCCCGGCCCTGAGTCCGCAACACGGCTCCCCCGACATCCAGCCCCAGAGACACGGGGCACGGGGACACTCACGGGAGAAATACAGAGCCATCTCCACCTGAGCACCCTGACAGGAGCCAGGCGCCTCTACAGGCCCAGCACAGGAGGTGCCGGTGATGTTCTCTTGACGGGGGCCTGAAGACCGCCCATGACAGAGGCCTCCTGCCTGGGTCACCTGCCCCACTACATGATGCTGTGGGGGTGAACAAAGAGAAGCGCTGAGGGTCACCACTGTGAGGGCAGGACTACGGCTTCATGTTCCAGAAAAGTCCCCGGGCACTGCATGAGAAATACTCATCCCATGTTCCAAGGCAGCAAAAGTCCTTTCTCCTGAAACCTTTGGTGACCATCAGAAGCCCATCTCCTATCTTCAGGAACCTGAGGAGATACTGGAAGCATCTTAATCAGCTGCTATCACACTGTTCACAATCCCCAAAGTCGGGAAACAACCCGAGTGTCCAAGAACAGACAACTGGTTAAAGAAACTTTGGTACATCTACACAATGGAACTCAACACAGCTAATAGGAGAGATGAAATCATGAAATTTTCTTCTAAGTGGATAGAGATGGAAAGTATCATGCTAAGTGAAATGTGTCAGAAAGACAGGGACAGACACAGAAGGACTGCACTCATTTGTGGAGTATAAAATAACACAAAATGAGACTGACACCCAAGGACAGTAGACACAAGGGCCATGAAGATTGCACCATAGCTGGAAGCCTGTCTCATGAGCTGGGGGAGAAGGCAGCTGGAATAGAGAAGGGATCACTAAGTCAATGATGGCTGGAGGGATCAGTCGGGATGGGAGATGTGTGCTGAAAGTAGATAAAGGACCAAACGCGATAATCTCTCAGTATCTGTATTGCAAACCATAATGCCCAAAAGGAGAGAGAGAGAGAGAGAGAGAGAGAGACAGAGAGAGACAGAGAGAGACAGAGAGAGACAGAGAGAGAGACAGAGAAAATGGGAAAAATTTTCTGCCATGAAGGCAGGGGGAAGGTTGGAAAAGGGGGATATACTGGGGACATTGGTGGTGGGAAATGTGCACTGGTGGAAGGATGGGAGTTTGAACATTGTATGGCTGAAACCCAAACATGAAAGCTTGTAACTGTATCTCACAGTGGTTCAATAAAATAAAAAATAAAATAAAACAGCTGCTATAAAGCCCATTTGTCAAGGACTTCAATGGGACAGGTGACCACGAGTTCATCAGCCAGGGCACTCTGCAGGGGGGTATGGCAGAGCCTCCCTCCTGCTCTGGATCAGGCAATCCCTGGCATCTACTTTCCCTCACTCCCCTTTGGAGAGAACATAGAGAGTGAACAAGTATTTCCTTCTTCCTCTTAGTCCTACTTAAAGCAGAGTGTGGGGGTGGGTGGAGCTCATGTTTGAGAAGAGACTCCTCAGCATCCGTCAGCAGAGGGCAGAAGGGACAGTCAGGGTGAGCTGAGCCCGGGTCCCCTCAAAGCCCAGTGCTCCCAGCGACATGCGGCAGCCAGGGTCCCTCCTATGCCCTCGCTCCTAACTACAGCTGCAAACAGTGCCAGGGTTCCAGCATTGGATAAGCCAAAAAATTCCATTTTCTGTGAAATTCCCCAATCACTAATTTCGACGGCTCATTCAAAAATCTTAAAGACACTGTGTAAGTCAGACAAATCTATTAAGATAATTCACATAGTCTGGGAAGATAATCAATTTTCAACCTCTGGTCTCAATTTCCAGCTATGAGAAATGACTTGATTTCACCCTCCACTGTCAACTCTGTGTTCATTACACTTAGAATTCACTAATGTGGCAAACTCTTCACGGAGTTCACCCGAAAATAAGAATTTTTGCCTGTGAATTATTTTTCTCTGAATTGAGGCCACAATCTTTTACACTGCCATTTAGCTCCTAGAAGGATAATAAAAAGTTTACCAATATATCTCTTCTATTTTCAACTCTCCTTTAAATGTAAAAATATGTTTTTAACAACACCCCTAACACCATGTCCTCTGTTCATTTCTCTTTACTCTTGAAGGATGATTCCTTCATTTTATCACCTCTTCTTTTGCTTCTCATCATTTTCATTTTCTAATGAAATGTTTCTCCTTTCTAATAAAAAACATCGTTTTCATAGGGACTGGGTTTCTCCCTTTGCATTCCTCTTTTCCTTTCCAGCATAAAGCTGAGATCTGAAAAAGGGTGTAACAGACTACACCAACTGCAAAGACGTTTCAAATGACTAATAATTTCTAGTCTATTAAGGAATAAATAAGGAAGAAGTAGAGTTAAAAAATGATACTGTTCCCTTCGATAGCTCAGCTGATAGAGCGGAGGACAGTAGTTCAATGCCTCTTTTGCAGACCACAACACCCAAAAGGAGAGAGAGAACAAAAGGGAATGCCCTGCCACAGGGGCAGGGTGGGATGGTGGGAATGGGGGTGGGAGGGATATTATCCATGGTGGTGGAAAATGGGCACTGGTGGAGGGATGGGTACTTGATCACAGTATAATCGAAACCCAAGCACAAAAAAATTGTAAATCTACAACTGTACCTCATGGTGTTTCACAAATAAAAATTTTTTTAAAATGATACTGTTAAGGCCCAAAAGGAAAGAAAATGGTGGGGGGGGGGGGGAGGAAAAGTGCCTGCCATAGAGGCAGGCAGGGGTGAAGGGGAGAGGGGGGGAGAGAAACTGGGACACTGGTGATGGAAAATCTGCACTGGTGAAGTGAGGAGTATTGGAACATAGTATGCCTGAAATCCAATCATGAACAACTTTGTAACTGTGTATCTCACTGTGATTCAATTTTTAAAAGATTTTTTTAATGATACTGTTACCCAAATCAGTCAAAAATGAAAATTATCAAGAGCAAGAAGTGAAGTATGCTAAGAAGTACCCTATCTCATGTCAACTGACACTATCCAATATTTTAAGATTTCAGGGAACAGTGCCAAAGGTAAAACTCGAAATCTGGAAAAAGCTCCATTAAAATCTGTTCTTCCTAAAAGTTGAAAGTGACAAAGCAGCAATCAGTCTGTGAATTTCAAAAACCATTCACTTTTTTGGTACTAAAACCCTACTGAAACTTAGTACTCTAATAGGAAGCAATTTGATGGACTTCGTTTACCCTGATTATTTCAATAAATCAAACACATATTGTCTAATGAGGAGAAAGGGAGAGAAATCCAAGGATCAGCTTGAAGAGAGATATGGGGATATATATGATAGGTATATATTGTTGAAATATATTATATATTGAAATATATTGTTGAAATATATACCTATCATATATAATTCTCATAAAGAAAAACAGTTGTGTTAAAGACGCTCAATCCAAGTAACAGTATATGGACATATCATAATCCATTTAACATATGCAAATACATACGCTTATACACACACACATACACATACAATCCAAAAAGTGGTTAAAAAGGCAAAAAGTGGCTGACGTGCAATAGAACTGAATAAACAGTGAATACAAAAGCAAAATTTGTTTAACAAACCCACCCAACATTCTTTCACAGTCCTCAACAATTGAAAGAGGGAAAATGGGAGATATGGACCCATTCTGAAGACAGACTAAGCAATAAGACACATCTGGAAGCCCATTTCAGAGCATACCTTTGGGTCTCAGTGGGTGACTGCATCGGAGAATGATCTCCTCCCGGAGAAAGCTTCCACGACTCATTCCATCTGTGCTCGCTTGTCCCCAGCTCACCCAGGACCCAGTCTGGCAATCCTTCTGGGCTTGAACATTTGGCTCGTGCTGGATTTGGTTCATCAAAATAGATGGACTGATTTTTAAAAATTAGAAAAATTATTCTTTCAAAATGTACTAAAATGAAACAATGAGTTAAGATTTCCATCAAGTTGCAATCTGATTTAAGAAAGAAAGCTTTCAAAATACTCTAAGTAAAAATACACAAAAATGCAACATTCATTGTACAGCAAAATACAAAACATTCCATAAACTGGGTAACATATTTACATCTAATTGCATTCTATACAATATAATGAATGATAAATTATGACAAAATCTGGTAACTGTTTTACAAAAGTGATGACAAATGGGAAGTTTTGTTCTAATCATGTTTTCCCCTATATTTTCTATATCATTAACTGCCCCAGCCCCTAAGGAAGTATCAAATATGTGATTTGGTAAAAATCAAAGTGGGCTGTAGAGATCCAATAGCTGGTTGGGCATGTGGCCTGCACATGCTTGACCCTCGCTCCAACCTCTGCACCCCCTGGTCTCCTGAGCACTGCCAGGAGTGATCCCTAAGCACCGCTGGATAAGGTAAAAAAATAAAAACAACCGCAGTAAAAATAAATTAAGACATTAGGAACTGGAGAAATAATGTAGCAGATAGGGTGTTTGCTTTGCAGGCAGCCAAGATAGGTTTGACTCATGTGGTCCCCTGAGCCCGCCAGGAGTGGTCCCTGATCACAGAGGCAGGAGTAAGCCCTGAGCACCACTGGGTGTGGCCCCAAAAACAAAGCAAAACAAAACAAAAAAAAAAACAAAAAAACCCAGAGTATGACATACTCATATCTTTGAAGATCTTAGAAAGTCTTTAAGAAACTGTCAGCCTTGGGTCAGAGCGACAGCACAGCAGACAGGGCGCCTTGCACGCGGCCAACCCAGGTTCGATTCCGAACATCCCATATGGTCACCTGAGCACCACCAGGAGAAATTCCTGAGTGGATGGGCCAGGAGTAACCCCTGTGCATCGCCGGGTGTGACACAAATAGAAAAAAAAAAATAGAAACTGTCAGCCTCTAGTCATTAAGAATGGCATCGGGGCTGGAGCAATAGCACAGCGGGTAGGGCATTTGCCTTGCACGCAGCTGACCTAGGTTCGATTCCCAGCATCCCATATGGTCCCCCGAGCACTGCCAAGAATAATTCCTGAGTGCATGAACCACGAGTAACTCCTGTGCATCGCTGGGTGTGACCCCCCCCCCCAAAAAAAGAATAGCATCGGCCCATTATTTCCCTTCAGCTGAGCCAGGTTTCATGACATGTCGGTGAAGACAAAGCCCTGGCTGCATCCTTCTACAATCATTCTCTCCATGCTGTGCGGAAACCCTCAAGCTCTGCTCGAAGGAACGGGAGACATGACCTTCCAACTCTGAGGCCTAATCCAAAAATCCAGACCCCCACTTCCCAAGGACTCCTGATCTCAATCAGGTACAAAACGCAGCTTTTCTTTGTCCCCTGCTGGGAGTGGCCTCCAGAGGCCACCACAAATAACAGAAATGACACTAGCGTGTGCGGTGTATCTTCGCACTGAACTGTGCTCTCGCTGACAAGATCCTGAAAAAAATACCAACAGCCGCTACACAGCAGTGTTTTCAAACATGCGTGTAAAGGGGCCAGAGAGAGCACACAGCAGGTAAGGTGCTTGCTTGGCACACAGCCGATGCCAATTCAACCCCAGTACTGCAGGCCAGGAGAGACTCCTGAGCACAAACCAGGAGAAAACCCGGAGCACAGCCAGGTATGCCCTGTGTCCCCCCATAAAAAAGCATGCTTAGATTTGGGCCTACTAGATGAGTCAAAGAGCCAGAGTGCATGCTTCACAGGCATGGAGCCCCACGTTCCACCCTGGCACTCATGAGCCCCTGAATACTTCTGGGTGTGGTTCCGAAATAGCACTTTCCCACCCAGTCAAGCCACTGAACCATCAGGTTCAGCAGGGCCAGTATTACTTGGGTGGCCCTGGACCCTGGATACTACTTGGGAGTTTCCTTGTTCCCTACCAAAAGTGTCCATATCCTAAAGCAGCTGCCAAATTCTGGTACTTCAGTGGCATTTCTCAAATATTCAAGCACCACAGAAATGAATGATATTTCACGGTTGCACAGAACAAGAAGGCCAAGATTCATCAACAAAGCATAATTATAACCACCTTGGCAGCCAAAATAACTGTGACAATGAAATTAGGTATAGAGACTTTTTAACTCCAGTTTCAACATATTACTACTCTTTTTACTAGGGTGGTAACTTTTAAAACTGCTTATAAATTTTTAAATAATAGATGCAATTTCAATAAACTGGAATTTACGGAAATATATGATTATAGCCCAATGAAAATTATTGTGAAATAAAGGGTTAACATTAAGGGAAAAAAACCTTGCTTTCAATGATTTTAGAAACTTTTTTAGGGGCTGGAGAGATAGTACCGAGGGAAAAGCACTTGCCTTATGTGTGACCCGGGTTCAATCCCCAGCACCCCATATGGCCCCCGGAACACTGGCAGGAGGGCTCCCTATGTGCAGAGCCAGGAGTAAACCCCGAGTACCACCAAGTGTGCCCCAAACACACCCCAAAAAATTGTTTTTAATACTATGGTAAGACTAAATCAATACGAATGACCCCTATACTAAGCCAATACCTGATTTTTATTCAAGATAGGGGTAAAAATTCAACCATGGAGAAAAGACCAGCAGTGTGACCAAGTGACGCCCACTGCTGGGGGCAGCTTACCATCCAGGAGGGCAGGGAGCTGGGCAGTGCCCACCACCTGGGGGCAGGTCACTAATGCAGGAGGGCAGAGAACTGGGCAGTGCCTACCATTCAGGGGGCAGCTCACCGTGAAGGAGGGCAGGGAGCCAGGCATTCACCATGTAGGAAGACGGGAGCCCAGCAGTGCCCGCACCAGGGGCAGCTCACCATGCAGGAGGGCAGGGTCCGGGCACTCACCATGTAGGAGGGCAGCGTCTTCAGCGTGCCAGGCTCAGGCCGGTGCGAGAAGGGGCCCTCGAGCACGCCGCGCCGCAGCATGTGCAGCAGCATCTTGGCGTAGAGGTTCCGGTTCCGCCGGCCCAGCAGGCCCGCACCAGTCCCCGATGGCTCGCACAGCTTCCGGATCCACAGGGCGCATCTCTGACGCTCTGGAGATACACAGGAACCACGATGGTCTCGCTTATTGATTTTAGATATTCTTTTTTTTTTTCCAGAAAACCAAACATCCAGGGTCAGAATAAAGGGTTCCGCAGTCGCTCCGGCTCGGGCATGACTTCGCGACTTGCACCACATGGGCACAAAAGTGGCCACATGCCTGGACGGGATAGAAGCCATGAAGGGGACCCGCCGACAGGACCCAGAGGGTGGGTGGTCACCGATGCCAGGTGAGGGAGATGCAAGGAAATCGTGTGGAAGGAAAAAGAAAAAAAACCTCTAGATTACTACCAACTAAATTTAATATGAAATGTGGCCACAAAAGCGTAGAATTCTGTCATTTGCAGGAACCAGAACAATAGTAAAGTGGGCAGGGCGTTAAGGGGAAAACTGGATAGTGAAGGATAAAATCAAAGTTTTGCAGTAGGACTTACATAACATTGTAATGCATGTTACTTCAGTAAAATTAATTTATTTTTAATGCAATCTCATTTGCTTAAGAATCTTAAACTAGATCTAAAGGTCTTATTTACTAAAGCCAGTAATTTTCAGTAACTTTGTGCCTTATTTACTTAGGGGTTTCCTTTAATGTCTCTGAAAACAGCCAAAGATGACTTATATCTAATTTCACTAAAAAAATAACTTTAGAAATGAAACACTATAGCACAGTTTAATCCGTATGTAATGACCTACTGACTATATCATCAAGTGATGTAACTTTTAGGTCCATGGAAACTATTCTCACGATAATTTTTTATCAGTCTAACTAAACTTGAGGATTATATATATAATACAAATCATAAATGTGCTTTAATCTCTTCATTTCTAAAGGTCATTTTCATTTACCATTTTAAACTACAAAAACCGCTGAGACAAATTTACCACTTTGCTCATATCGAATTTATCACTATAAGTACAAGAGCTAGCCTCCAAAGAACCTTTGTATTTTCAGCTTTGAAGATTATAGAATCACAAAGCAAACCTCATGAAATGTTAGAGAGACTTCCTATGAAAATAAAGTACTGAAGCCAAACTGATAAACGGAAGCAGCAAGTTTTCCGACTAATCCTGTCCTCGATGCCCTGCAGCAAGCCAAAATGTGTGCAAGAGTCTGATGGCCAGAATTTAATATGACTTGTTCACTAAAAGAAATTTAATCCTCTACTAAATGATGGGGGAACTATTACAAATGGTAGATACTGTGTTTGGTTTTAACATACTTGCTTGTATTCTCTTCTATACATTCTCTGTCCATCTCGGAGAGCCCGACAAGCCACCGAGAGTATCCCACCCACAAGGCAGAGCCTGGCAAGCTCTGATATGTTACTGTTTTGGGCATATCAAATATGCCCAAAACAGTAACAATAACGGGTCTCATTCCTCTGACCCTGGAAGTGCTTCCAATACGGCACCATTGGGAAGGACAAGTAAGGAGAGGTTGCTAAAATCTCAGGGCTGGGACAAATGGAGACATTAATGGCACCTGCTCAAGCAAATCAATGAACAACAGGATGACAGTGATACAGTGATACAGCGATTGACTATTAAAAGTGTATCATTGTAAATGTACACACCCTTGATGGAGATGTGAGTTCCCAAAGTATTCATCACAAATTAAAGAGGGTCACATATATATCAATACTGGCAGTGCATCATGAACCAGAGATTCTAATTCATCCAATTCTTTGTGAGCCAAAAATTCATTTTTTCATTAAAAAATATGAAATATGAGAGTCTGGTTTGATACATTCGTTATAGGATAACCCAGTGCAGAATCAAAGTCGGCAGGTCTAAGCTGGCAGACATCAGCAGAGAACACAGTACAGGGTTAGCATCAGCCAAGTGGAGAATGTTCACTGTGAAGAACAGCTGGGAAAGGAAGGAGAGAGGACAGCTCAGGGGACAGAGAAGGCAGGGAGGAGATCCCTGAGACTGCTGTATCGGGGGGCCCCCTGCACTGGGGAGGGCCTCATCCTGCGTGCTGTGACCAGAGGGCGGGGCCTGCCCCCCTACCCCATGCTGTCCCCAAGGAGGAGAAGCAGCTCCTGACACCTGGAGTTCATTCAGAGCTGAGAACGGGCACTTAGAAATTGCACAAAGCTTTCATTTCTTGGTGCTCATCCCCACATAAGAAGCCAAACTGGACTGTCACTTAAGCAGCTGTCAGCTACTATAATGACTGGACGTCCAGCCTCCCACACGCTGACAAACTGCTGTCTGGTGTTTTATTTGAAAAAATATTTTTTTTATTTCTACGTGATACTATGGGCAGGAGCAATAGCACAGTGGGTAAGGCGTTTGCCTTGCACGCGGCTGACATGGCCAACCCGGGATCAATTCCTCCGCCCCTCTCAGAGAGCCTGGCAAGCTACCGAGAGTATCTCGCCTGCACAACAAAGCCTGGCAAGCTACCTGTGACATATTCAATATGCCAAAAACAGTAACAAGTCTCACAATTTGTTGTGAGACATTACTGGTGCCCGCTTGAGCAAATCGATGAACAACAGGAGGACAGTGCTACAGTGCAGTGCTATGTAATACTATTGAGTCCCCGTGGATTACCAAGATATTCATGACTGGGTTTCTGGTACACAGTACTCCCACAACGATCTCCTCGGCTGTGTCCACTTCCCCCCACAATTCCCCCGGCCCCTCCCACCCCCCAGCCTGCCTCTGTGAGAGATTTATATACAAACATACAAACATATAGTCCATGCTGTCATACGTATAACAAAGTTCTGTGGACCTGCAACTTTGGGCGCGGTGGCTTCTAGCCCAGCACTGTGGCTGAGAGGGTTTCATGCAGAGCACTGCACCTCCTGCTGGCATTTCACGGCCTGCCTGCGCCCTGCTGTGTCCTCTTCCCTGTGCCTTCCTTGCCAGCCCCCTCCCCACCCATGTGCCTACTGCAGACTGGTCCCCACATTCTTTGCTTCTACTGCCTCTGGATATTGTTATTCCCCTCCTATGTCTCTTTATATCATGCATCAGAGAGAGATCACTGTGTCAGTCTCTCCCTCTGACCAACTTTTCTCAGCTTGATACTCTCACATGGCAGTTCACATGGCAGCAAACTGCACCCTTTGTGTCTAGGAGCTTTTCTGTAGTCTTTAGGGCTTTCCAAGTATAGTATCATGTCATCCATAAATAAAGCTTCATAGCTTCTTTTCCTGCCTGTAAGTCCTTTTAATATCTCCTTCTTGCCTATTTGCTATGGCCAGGACTTCTAATACTACACTGCATAGTAGTGGTGAAGGGGGGCATCTTTGTCTTAGCCTGACCTTAGAGACAAGGCTCTCAGTTTTTCACCATTGAGTATAATGCTTTTTTGCAGGCTTGTGGTAAAATGGGTTTGACTATGTGAGGGAAAGTTCCTTTATCTTCCATTTTATTGAGGGTTTTTTTTTTCAATCATGAACAGGTGTTGGATCTTGTCAAATGCTTTTTATGCCTCTGTTGATCTGCTCAAATCATCTTTATTTTTTCTTATATTAATATGGTACATTATGCTGGCTGACTTATTTATGTACATTAAACTATCCTTGCATCCCTGGAATGGATCTCACTTGGCCATGGTGTAGGATTTTTCTGATGTGTGGCTAGATTCAATTCGCTAGTATTTTGTTAAGGATCTTCGCATCTGTGTTCATCAGGGAGATCAGTCTATAGTTTTCCCTTTCTGTGCTATCTCTGTCTGATTTTGCTATCAGGATAATGTTTGGGTGTATGTCTGTCCCTCTGATTCCTGAGTCCTGAGGCTTTGGGTTCTCTTCAAAGATTTGGAAGAATTCCACCTGGGTTGGGTTTGGGGGGAGATTTTTGATAACCATTTCAACTCCTTAATAGTAATTAATCTATTCAGGTATTCCATATCTTATTGATAGGTAATAAGAGTCAAAACTTATATCCATTCTTGTAGGTTCTGTCATTTCATGCATAAAGATTTTCAAGTAATCCCTGATGGTCCTTTGAATTTCTATGGTTCTATGTCTCTTCTTGGTTCCAATCTTATTGGGAGACTATAGGAGTCAAAAATTTTATTCATTATTTTCTAGGTTCTCTGTTTTGTGACATAAAGATTTTTGAAGTCCCTGATGATCCTTTGAATTTCTGTGGTATCTGCTACGAGTCCTCTCCTGTCACCTCTGGTTCAGTTAACTGGGATTCTCTCTCTTTATGAGTCTTGCCAGTGGTTTATCAATCTTGTTTTTTTTTCTAAGTATCAGCTCTTGGTTTCATTTAATCCTTCGGATTTTTTAATTCCAATTCATTAATATCTACTCTAAGTTTTAGGGTTTATTTCCTTCCTTCCTTCTGATTCAGGATCCTTTCATTATTCCCTTACTAGTATCTTAAGCTGTGCAATTAGATAATTTATGTGGGCCCTTTCTTTTTACTTTTCTTTTTTTGAGGGGTTGGGGGGACACTCCTGGTAATGCTCAAGGATTACTCCTGGCTTTTCACGCAGGAATCACTCCTGATGGTACCATACAAGAACCATACGAGATGCTGGAAATCAAACCCAGATCGGCCACATCCAAGGCAAGTGCCTTACCCTCTCTACTATCTTTCCGGCACCACATGTGGGCCCTTTCTTCCTTCCTAATGTACACTGGCATTTGATTAATGTTCAAATGAAAAAAATGTTAATCTTTTGTTTAGTTTTGGGACCATACTCAGCAGTACTCAGGGCTTACCTCTGCCTCTGCGCTCAGAGATTAGTCCTGGCGGGACCTAGGGGACTACAATGGGGTGCTGGGAATCAAATCCAAGTCAGCCGTGCACAAAGCAAATTCCTTACCCACTGTACTACTGTTCCAGCCCCTACCCCAAAATACTAGTCTTAAGACTTTCATTCTTAAGGACAAACTTACCTGATCTGTGGGGTAGCTTTAAAACAAACGGCTTCATATCTACCACAAAGTGATCAAATTCTGCATCCAACTTTTCCCATTTTTCTTCCTCACTCCCCATTTCCATAATTCAATCTGTAAAGGGTTTAAAATGGAAACAGTAAGGACCCATATGCTGAAAACTACAAAATTCTGATGAAAAGAGGTCAGAGAGTATAAACAGAATGAAATATCAATTCTCCCAAATTCATCAATGTCATGCAATTCCAATCAAAATTCCTACGGTAGTACTCTTCACATATATACAAAAACTGATTCTAAAATTCATAGCCAAAAGAAAAGGAACAAGAATTGAAAGTCATTTTGAAAAATAATAAAGTGTGGGACTTGTATTATCTGACTGACATAAAGCCACTTTGCACTTGACACTGCCAAATGAGAGGTCAATGTATTATTGGTAAAGGTAAGACGCTGGAACCCCTGAACAAGACTAAAACCCAGAAACTGACAAGTACAAACACTGACAACTAATTTCAACTTAAGTACAACTCATAGAGAAACAGTAGTCTCTATAACAAATTATGCTGTTGAACAACTGGACATCCACATGTAAAAATAAGTAAAACTCAACCTAAACCTCATTCGGTATCTGAAAACAACCTCAAAATATATCACACATCTCACTTAAAGTGTAAATGTATAGAACCCTTAAAAAATTTAAATGTTAATTTCATGACTTCATCTTTTCTAAGAGCTACATAGTACTCCATTGTGTAGATGTACCAAAGTTTCTTTAACCAGTCATCTGTTCTTGGGCATTCAGGTTTCTTCCAGTTTCTGGCTATTGTAAAGAGGGCTGCAATGAACAAACAAGTGCAGATGTCACTTCGACTATACATTTTTGCCTCTCTGGGATATATTCCCAGGAGTGGTATTGCTGGGTCAAATGGGAGCTCAATTTCTAATTTTTTGAGAATCGTCCATACTGTTTTCCAGAAGGGCTGAACCAGTGGACATTCCCACCAACAGTGAAGGAGTGTCCCTTTCTCGCCACATCCACGCCAGCATCGGTTGCTTTTGTTCTTTTGAATGTGGGCCAGTCTCTGAGGTGTGAGATGGTATCTCATTGTGGTTTTGATCTGCATCTCCCTGATGATTAATGATGTAGAGCATTTTCTCATGTGCTTTTTTGCCATTCGGATTTCTTCTTTGAGAAAGTTTCTGTTCATTTCATTGCCCCATTTTTGGATGGGGTTGGATGTTTTCTTCTTGTGGAGTTTAACCAGTATTTTGTATATCCTGGATATCAACCCCTTGTCAGACAAGTGGTACAATATGGAAAGTATCATGCTAAGCGAAATGAGTCAGAAAGAGAGGGATAGACATAGAAAGATTGCATTCATCTGGGGGATATAAAGTAACAAAGTATGAGATTAATACACAAGAATAGCTGAGATCAGCACCAGGAGGATTACTCCATAACTTAGAGGCCAGCCGGGTATCCTAGAGGAAAGGGCTATTCAGATAGAGAAGGGAGCACCAAATAAAGGATGTTTGGAGGATCCTCCCAGGAGGGGAGATGCATGTCGAAAGTAGACTATGGACTGAACATGTTTGCCACTCAATGCCTCTTTTGCAGACCACAACACCCAAAAGGAGAGAGAGAACACAGGGGATTGCCCTGCCACAGAGACGGGGGGATGGGGGGATGGGGGTGGGAGGGATATTATCCATGGTGGTGGAAAATGGGCACTGGTGGAGGGATGGGTATCTGATCATTGTATAATTGAAACCAAAGCACAAAAAATTGTAAATCTACAACTTTAAAAAAAATAAAATAAAATAAAGGGGAAAAAAAATAATTGGAGAATGTGGGCAAACTGAATTTTTATCATATAAAGGGACGCATGAATATGAAAGTGCTGGTTGTCCAAGAATGGCCGAGATTAGTACCAGGAATTTTACTCCATGGCTTGGAGGCCAACCACACATGCTAGGGAAAAAGGGAGCTCAGATAGAGAAGGGAGTACCAAATAAAGGTGTTGGGAGGATACTCCCAGGATGGGAGAAGCATGCTGAAAGTAGACTACAGACCAAACATGATTGTCAGCAATTGCCTCTTTTGCAAACCACAACACCCAATAAGAGAGATAGAACAAAGGGGAATGCCCTGCCACAGAGGCAGGGTGGGATGGGGGGAGATAGGAGGTGGGAGGGATACTGGGATCCATGGTGGTGGGAAATGGGCACTGGTGGAGAGATGGGTATTTGATCATTGTATAATTGAAACCCAAGCACAAAAATTTGTAAGTCTGCAACTGTACCTCATGATGTATCACTAATAAAAATTAAAAAAAAATGGAGACATCAAAAAAAAAAAAAAAATTTAAATGTTGGGGCCAGAGCGATAGCACAGCGGGGAAGGCATCTGCCTCGCATGTGGCCGACATGGGTTCGATTCCCAGTATCCCATATGGTCCCTGAGCACCGCCAGGAGTGATTCCTGAGTGCAAAGCCAGGAGTAACCCCTGACCATTGCCGGGTGTGACCCAAAAGAAAAAAAATTAAATGTTGACTCTGCAGAAGGTTTTATTGAGAATTTGAAAAGCTAGGAGGAAAAATAAAATGGGTGAATCATACATCTCCTGACGATTTATATCAAGAATATAAAAAAAAATTCTTCAGACTCAGCCCTAAGAAAACAACCCAATTAAATAATCAGCAAACTATCTCTTTACACTTGCACACCTCTGTTCACTGCGGCGCTACTCAAAATAGTCAAGTTATGAAGATCAATTGCTCAAGAGCATGAGTGGATAAACAAACATACAATGGAACACTATACAGCTATAAGAAAAGACAAAAGCATGCAATTTGCCTCCATCTGGATGGAACTAGAGGGCGTCATGCTGAGGAAGTTCGGTGATTCGGAGAGCAACAAGTACAGAACCATCTCTCATGTGTGGAATGCAAAGAAACATAGTAAAGGAATAACAGACAGGCAACGGCAACAAACCCTGCGAGTGAGAACTTTGCTATAGGCCAGAGAGACAACACAAGGGCTAGCGTGGCTTGCTCTGGACACCCAGGTTCAATCCCCTACACCTCTCGTGGTCCCACCAGGACTCATTCCTGAGCACAGAGCTGGGAATCAACTTGTGAGCTCTGCTGGGGAGGCCCCCAAAACAAACCAACAATTACCAGAACTGAGTTTACCCAGACGAGTGGGGCGGGTAGGAGGAGGCCCAGGCACTGGGGGAGCAACACTGGTGTTCCCCTAGCGGGTATGTGCAGGAATACTGGATCCCTGACACTTTCCTATTCACACAACTGTAGATCATGGTGCCTGGATAAAAATCAGGAAAAAAGGGCTGGAGCAATAGCACAGCGGGTAGGGCGTTTGCCTTGCACATGGCAGACCGAGGTTCGATTCCCAGCATCCCATATGGTCCCCCGAGCACCGCCAGAAGTAATTCCTGAGTGCAGAGGCAGGAGTAACCCCTGAGCATCGCCAGGTGTGACCCGAAAAGCAAAAACAAAAAGGGAGGGATTATCACTCTACTTCAAAAGTATATCAGATGACAAGCATTCCAAAAGACATTGCACCCCAAGAATAATTAAATGAGAATGGAAACCACAGTGGGCTACAGCTCATCCCAAAGAGACTCAAAGAACAGTGAGTGCTGGGGAGGCTACATTCAGGGTTACAGAAGCCCAGAAATCCCACATTAGGGGGAACAAAATCCACGTCCACTTTCAGAAGCACCTCCCGACTCCCTTAACTTTCTGTAATCCTCAAACACCCTTTAAGTGGTCCCCAGCCCTGCCCTGGGGGATGGATAGGCCATGGCAGTCACACAACTTAAAGGTCCCCAACAAAGACAGGGCCAGCCTCTGGGGGGAGCTGCCCCGGGCCCTCATCTGGGCAGCACTCGCTGTTGGAAGTAGCCACCGAGTCTCAAAAGGCTCCCCACAGCATGAGTCCATCTGTATTATGTTCTAGAAAGGACCAAACACACGGGCACAAAGAACAGCCCGGCAGTCCTGAGGGGTAGCAGCAGGAGCAGAGTCCGGACAAACAGCGGGGCTGGGAGGAAAGAACCAGGGGCACTAGGGCTGTTCTGTGTGTGCCCTCATGCAGAACCCAGAGTGACGGGGATTCTCAGACCTGTCCACCACTGTGGGGTCTGAACACTGTAAATTTTGGTGGTTTTTTTTTTTTGATTCCCCGCCAATAAAACTTAAAAACATTGCTCTTTGAATTTACATCTTTGTTCTGTTTTGAGGTCACACTGCACAGTGCTCAGGGCTAGATTGTTTCTGGCAGGCTCAGGGCACCATATGGGGTGCCCGGGACCAAACCCAGAACCCAGTCGGCCGCATGCAAGGCAAACACTCTACCCACTATTCTACCGCTCCAGTCACCGTTTATTATTAATTAATAAAGTGCTGCATACGGACGGAGTGAATCCTCCAATTCAGAAATGGAGACTCTGACAAAATACCTGCAGTGAATCGAGTCTCTCTCACCTGGGTCCCCTAGATCGTGGACTGTCCTGGTGGGGACTGGGCCACCTCTACACGGGGCATGGCTCCCAATCTGTCAATCATTCCATTTGCAAATCAGATATTGCAGTGGGAGCCTCACTGCCCGGCCTCACTCCCTGTCTCACTCTCCAGACTCTCCTCTCTGCTAAAGCTGCTCCCGATCCTGCAGGTGGGATGCTCCGCCTCATGCCCACAGCCCCTCAGAGCAGGTGCCTCTACTGGGAGCCCGCCTGACTTCCAGCGGAGGGTCGGGAGCCAGGGGCCTGATCCCCGCCCCTCCATGACAGTACCCTGGCAGCTTCTCTCCCTCGTGGTCCTCGCCAGGGATGGAGACAGTTGCTGGGGTCCCTATGCTCCCATCTGCTGGAATCCGCTAGAACAAAAGCTGCTGGACCTTAGGGTCCCATTAGACCTGACTAGAGGGGGCCACACTCGGGTGATCTGGGGGTGGGCAGCAGAGGTGGGGATGGAGCCCACAGGCCCCTGCAGATTCTACCAGGAGTAGAACCTTCTACCAGTGGGCACGGGCGTCCTAGCTAAGAGCCCTCCCAGCCGTGACCCCGAGTCTCCCTCTTGGGATGC